CTGCAAAACGCAGACTGGTCCAATGGTTGTTAGCAGTTGGTCGCGATGGCAGCAAAGACAGCCCCAGAAGTCTGGTAGTCTCTCTGTTCTGCGGCAACATGTGAGCGAAATTATATCAGCTGCCGGCGTGATGCGGAACAGGAGTTACAGCGAGCGACGCTTGTAAACAAACCACTGGCGGCAAGCAAAAGTGCTTCCGCCATGGCTGCAGCGAGCAGGCCGAACACATTCCTTGATATCTACACTGTAGGGCAAGAGCATTCTGCAGACTGCAAGCCCACGTTCTCGGAAGCGCATCGCGAAGCGTTTGTGCTTTCATTTTCCCGATTGTTGTTGTGCTGGCAACAAAGACAGTTCAGCCTGCGGTATCTTGTGCGGCGGCAGAGGGTCATCGATCGCTGTGGATTACCCCCATGGCTGCTGCGACCAGGTCACGACAGAAGGCTCACAGACAACCCACTCATCTCGCCAAACATGACGGCGGCAGGGAGTGGACACAGGCTTCTGCTGTGATTTCGCGTTCAGGAGCTCGGCCTCTTCTTGCAAAGAGTTGTAGCTAGGTCTTGCCAGAAATGCTTTTGTCGGAGCACCTGCTGGAACATGAGTCTACGATGTCTTCCCCATGTCAGTTGATACATGTTGATACACAGTGTTGTAGTATCCCGGCTGAACAGTTAAGCTGCAGCAAGAAGCCTTTCACCTTGGACGCGCGCTCCGTTGAGTGTGGAAGTAACAATGGCGGCTGTGAGGGTTGTTTCAGGAATCGGCGCTGGGCCGTGCATTTCAACACATTTTCAGTGTGGAAAGGTGTGGGGGGTCGGTTCGTGTGGCTGGCTATGTTCTTGGTGCTTCTAACAACCAGAAGAGCAATATGAGTAACGACATGATTAACAACAAAAATAACAAGAACAGCATCAGGACCAGACACAGCAACAGCAGCAGCAGCAGCGGCAGCAGCGGCGAGACAAACTGCCAGCCGGCACGACAACAAACAACAACAAAGGAATAATAATGAGAAGAAGACCGAGAACAAGCACAGAACGAGAGCAACGACAACAATGATCGTAACGCTTCGTGTCCTCCGCCTCGGCCCGTCGCAGGTGATCATTAGCAGGTTCAGAGTGCACAAGTGCACAAGACGAAGAGTGGGCCGGAGGGAAGTCACTGGGAAGGGGATTGAAAGGAGGGGAAAAGGGCTCCTTAAACCCTGATGCCTAGACAGTGTGATTGGCGTGTAGGACCTAGCGAAAATTAAAAGCTTAAACCGGAAAGCATAAAGAACGTCACACGAAAAGGCTAGAATCCAAACATTAACTAGTCTCCAGAGCTCTTTAGATCAGCAGCCCCATTCAAGAGTCTCGAAGGTGATTTTGTTTTTCTGTTCTGGGGTTTGAGAACTTTTGGATTAGGCTTTTCGGGTTTTCCGATTTAAGTTTCCGCCAGCTTCGCATGACGCGACTGAGATTCTCCGCACCGCCGCTAAACTAACATTCATGCGAGACAGCTGCATTTGGTATTGATATTCATATCATGTATCATGTATGTTGTTGGAGTACAAGTGAGCACGAAAACAATATGTACAATCAGCCAGCTTGTGCGCTGCCACTGTTCACAAAAAGCAGTGTCAACTAGAGATGTGTGTGTGTGTGTGTGTTGTGCTACTGCTGTGCTGCATACTTTTGCTTCGCCTGCTTTGACCTTACGACTGCATGGCCGCATTGCGCAGTTGCAAGGGACCCAGATTCTGGTGGCCAGGAGACCCTGGAGGCCGGAAGAGTTCGAGGGCCAAGGAGGGTTTATAGGCATGTGCACTGTGCTTGCAGGTGCTTTCAGGCGATGACCCAGGCGATGAGGAGCAGTCTCCGAGCAGCACGAGGACCGTTGACGTTGTGTCTATGCTAACTAGGGACGCGAGGTGATGGGCAGCTTGTTTTGTTGTTGAGTGCTATGTCCTGTCTAAAGCGTCTCAGAAGCCAGCATCGTATTTCTAATTTTACACGTCGCCGCTTCGGCCCGGCCACAAGACTCCGCGCTCTTGGGTGGAAGGGGGATGGGAAAGGCGGAGGGGGACGCATCCGGCGAAGGAAGGTGCTTGGATGCAAATAGTAAGATGGGACTGCGCGTGTGAACAGGGTCTGTGGCAAGGCCAAGGCGCGCCGCCCAACAGATCAACCAACAGTCTGAGCTCAAAAAGCGTTTGGGCACGCGGGGGCCGGGCTGCCTCCCGAGGAAAATGTGCAACACTACGCTTGTGCTGCTGCCAGGCAGTCGCCGTCAAACCACAGCAAGGACAAGCTGCCGGCCTCGACGGCTAGCTCGAAGTCAAGTCGCCGAAAGGCAAGGCCCCGTAGCAGAAGCCAAAACTTTGGGTGAAACTTGAGACCTACATCCAGAACTTCACGTCCCTACTTAGTTACTTCCAGTTCCAGGAATGTAGCCAAGGGCCGCATGGGAGTTTTATGGTTGAGGTGCTCACGTACGACGAGCTGCCCCATGGCTTCGGAAAGGCGTGTGTTTCACTTTCGTGCTTGTCGATCTTACTGGTTCTGCCAGCGCAGTTTGGTGCTTGAAACATTCACGGTGTCCTTGGCACTTGAGCCATGCTCTTGCGATGCATCGGACATTGAGGGGGTCGGTAAAGGAAAATCTGCAAAATGAGGCAAGCAGAAACAAGCATTTCCTATGCCCCGGCGAGGCACCCATATCCGGCACCACCAAAGCCAAGGCGAGAGCCTCAGCATGGGGGTGTCTGGGGCGAGTCAAGGGCTGATCTTGATGTCGCGGAGGATGCTCAAAGAAGCCAGGGAGGAATGCAGGCACGATTTGAATGCCCGTTTGCAACAGACAGCCTCGGCTGCACTTGATCACTTGATGACGGATGTTCAGGCAGCGTCATCAGACTCAGCGAAGCTCATCGCTGGAGGTTCACTTCCGAAAACTGCATTTGTGCCCGCCCCAGCTTCTCGCAGTCATGCTTGAGGTAGCAATAGTATCTCAGAGGCAACCACATGGCTAATGTGCCTGTTGAGATCAGTGTCAGGCCTCCAACTGCAACGCCTGAAGAAGTTCGGAAGGCAAACTTCTTTCTGATTCTGGACGACTGGTAGCAACGGGACGCTTTGCACCTTTTGCCTTTTGCAGCGGATCGGTGCCTGTGTTGTATCAAGATTCTGCGCGCAGTCCTACCGGAAGCTTGTCTTGCAATGCCATCCAGCTCCTTGGTCTGAAGATGGTGTGTTGTGTTATGTTGTGTTGCTTGGCATTCGAGTTTTGGCTTCTACGCTGGCGAGGACAAGACAACGGGGCAGGTGCCAGTCTCAGGGACAAGGTCAGGATAAACCTCCAGTTGACTGCGCTCTTGATTGGCGCTTGTGATGTCTCTTGGTCTGCACCATCCTAGTTGGATAGCTCCACTTGCACTGAGGACTCTCAAGAATTTCGTGAGGTTTCCGATGCCTACCAAGCAAGTCGAGATCGCTTGAACTTCGCATGAGCAACAGGGTTGTCCCGCAGCAACTGCATCAACTGCCAAGCTCACGCTTCATGCTGTTGTTGTCTTCAGATGGTGACGGTCATGCACATCGCAGCCTTGTTTCTGCTTTGTTCGTATCTGTCGCAGTATCATCTATTCCCTTCCCGTGCCGTTCCTAAGCAGCAAGAATTCCAGTTTGGTGTTGTGTTCTTCCACTCATGCTTGGGCAAGCAACCGCAGGCCATGAACCGGCAGCAGCACATCCGGCACAAGGCAGTGAGATGAAGTTTCACATGGCATACCTGATGCATCAGTCCCCTGCCCCGACGAGGACGTGCAGCAGCACCGCAGAAGAACGGCATTGGCCCTATCGTGATACTCTCAGTCTGAATCTGGATTCTGCAGCTCGTCTGGCTCGTACGCACAACGAGGTTGAGTCAGCGACTGCTGCATTCCCGGGAGGCCTGGAAAGTTGGTCGCTGCCTGTAAGCACGTGGAGACTTGTCCGTAAGGTGGCGGGGCTTTACATCATTTTCGTCGCATGGGTGCTTATCACGGAGAAGGCATTGTGTGAAGTTCTTTCGCGGTTTTTGCTGCGCACTTCTCCGCTATCTATACAGGCCCAAGCGACCTGCAACGTCCTTGCCATCTTCGAGAGCCGAGCAAAGGTATGTTTTTGTTGACACTTGCTGCTTGCGGCTTTTGGCCATGGCGTCTTTTTTTACAGGAACGCCTGCTGGACGTGGTGATTCGCTATTGGAGAGCAGAGGTTGTCAAGCGCTTAGACGGTACTGTAGTGCTGAATCATTGCATTCCATTGCATTCTGTCTGTTTGCGGCGGTCTGGATTGCGCGGGTTTGGGGTCACGGGCAGATTTGAGGGGCATCGCGCAGCGACACCGCGTGTTGAAAAGCATGTCGTGTCGGGCAGCTTTGAAAAGATAGGCAAATCCCATACAGAATATAGCCGAAATCCCAGAACTAGGAAATATAATACACCACGACGCAAAATATCAATAATCCCCAACACGCGTCATGCACCTTTCTTAAACAAAGCAGTCGCAGCCCCAAAAAGATAGGCAAATCCCGTACAGCAAAAGAGCCGAATCCCAGAACTAGGAAATACAATACACCACGACGTAAAATATCAATACTACCCAACATACGTAATGCACTTTTCTTAAGCAAAGCAGTCGCAGCCCCAAAAAGATAGGCAAATCCCGTACAGTAAAAAAGCCGAATCCCAGAACTAGGAAATACAATACACCACGACACAAAATCTCAATATTCTCCAACATACGTCATGCACTTTTCTTAAGCAAAGCAGTCGCAGCCCCAAAAAGATAGGCAAATTCCATACATAATACAGCCGAAATCCCAG